GTTCAGAGGATTTCTTTCTCTCTTGCTCCTTACTGAAAAGGAAATGTTATTTTTCAGCTCACGAAGTCTGCTGACTTGAAGACATTGAAGCTTGTGGTCAAAGCTGATGTTACTCTAGCAGGGATGCTAGTTCTTTTAAAAAGCTGTCTTGGGGATTTGCCTTGCTGGTGGCCTAACTCAAAATCTTGCATGTAGCTAGCTGTAACAGAGCAGTTACAGTTCCTCCTCGCCCCTGTGACCAGTGACAGATTTCAGAAGGCTAAGCTTTTCTGGCAGGCTGGCCTGACTCCATTTATCTCCACGTTGCTGGGAACTTGAAATCTTTTTATGCTGGTTCGGGCTCAGGTACAGCTTGATGAGGATGTGCGAGCAGTGAGGACAGAGCTTATCTTTACAGGTGGAACAGAGGTTTGATGCAGCTTGGATCTTGTTAGTTTGGGATACCATGGTCCAGCTGGCGGCAAGTGAGACTTCAGCAACAGCTGAACTTAAGAGGGGCACTGGTTTGAAAAACCCAAATCTTTGGGGTCTTGAGGCAGATGGAACCAAGCCATTGGTTGTTCATTAATGTTGACGTAGTTGTGCCAAAATCTTAGCATAAAGCCTGATTGTTTGGCTCTGATTACAGCGCAAGGCTGAGGTCGGCTCTAGCTGAGACAGGAGTTCCTGAGCTCCAGCTGTCCCCCCAGCGTGGCAGCTGTGTTCTGGGGATGGGGGTTTCAGACACCTCTCGCATCTGTGATGTGTCCCCTTCTGCTCTACTCCCACCTTGCCAACATAGTCAGAACCTCGAGTGCTCTTTGTCACGTGATTCAAGATTTTAGTGGTAGGAGCTTTCACTGTATGGACGTCAGAAAGGAAGAAAGCCTCAGGGGTGGCACTGTCATGTGAAATGATGTCAAAAGGACAGCAGCACTAAATGGAGAATTGAATGAGCAAAGCCTGACTCCCCTAATGCACCGAGGCTGGCTGGCAGTACTTGCAGCCTCTCTTAGTTTCGCATCTAGAAGGAAGATTAGCAAATGTTATACAGAAAACAGATATTGAAATAAGCTTCCCTCTCTCACAGCTTATAGGGACACAAATTCTTGGGGAACAGGAATAAGAGAGAGAAAAATACATTTCAATCAAACGATTGCAAAAAAAGTATAATTTGTCAAGTTTTGCAAACCATATGAAAACAATTCAAAAGTGACACAAAAATATATATAAGTTTGAAAAACACTTAAAGAAAAAAGTACAGATCTCACAATATCAAAACAAACAATGTATGGTTAAAAAGGAAAAAAAAAAAAAAAAGACATTGAATAACACCTTATTGGCAGAAAAAAGTAAACCTCTCCAGGGCAGCTGTGTTGTGTCATTTAAAGTGTCAGTTTGTGTATCTAGGATCCATCTACAATGTGCTCAGCAATGGCAACATTAACTCTGAGCATCAGAAGAACCTTATAGCAGCGAGTCAAATCTGAGAGCAACGTATACAAGGGAAGAGAGCAGCGAGGCTGTGCTCAGAGGCCTGAAATGTCCCAACTCTTACTGCTACCAGACATAGTATCTTTTCTAAGTCCCTTCTGAGGGAAGATTTGTGAATGGCAAAGGACTGTGGCAAGCAGAGGGCTCTAAGCATGGACTGCCCACGGTGTTGCTGAGTGCCTGGCTGTGAGGCAAACCTTCACCTTTGGCTTCTTGAGCCTTTATAGGTCCAGAGTCCTACAGGTGAAGACCACCAGACCACCTTAGCGGGGCTCTCCTCTCGCCTACATCATACAAATCGGAGTAAAGCGGCCAATGTGAGTGGGACTGCACTGGTAAGTGCTTGTGGAAGTCAGATAAGCACAGGGCCCAGAAGACGAGGAAGATGCTGCGGTGAAACAAGAAGTGCTGTTTCATGGGATCGCCCTCCTATGGGCGCCCGGAGACCCCCCCAATTTCGGGAGAGGACTTTAGCACCTCCAATTTTAGCGTCTGTGGTGCAGCGAGTTTCCTATAAAGGGAGATTACTTTGCCACTGAGCACGGCTGAAAAAATGGGCTGAAAAAAAGCAGAACAGCTCCAGTCCATTACTGGGACTTGCAGAAGTGGCACAAGCCGTGCTGGACTGGGGCCTAGTACAGCTTATTATGCAGAGGGGAAATATGCTCTCTGGCATTTGTAGCCCTGCCCCATGAAACACAACACAACTAAAAAGGTGGTGAAGGACTGGAATGAAGACCTGTAGCCCTTTGTGAACAAACCTTGCTTCTTGTTGCACAGGCTCCCTTCCAGAGAAAAGCTCTGTGTTGCCAAGGATGTGTAACTGGTGTTACTGGTCATCCCTGACCTTATGAGGCTGGGTGGGCTGGCAGATCCTACCATATCGCCAAAGGGGACAAAAGAGACCTCTTGACTTGAACGGGAATGTCTTCTTTCCGAATGACCCACATACAGTTAGCAGTGCTTCCATGAATGTGAGTCTTCTATAAAAAACCCTTAAGGGAGTGAATTGACTTGAAAGTCTTTCTTCCCCCTTTCCTCCATTGACAAGTATCACTAAAAAGGTCAGTCTTTCAGTCTAACTCTCTGGTACTGTCTCCCCCAACCTCTAACCAAATAAATAACTCTTCGCTGCCCGTAACCCCATTGAGCAGCCAATACCAATTCAGGACTGGTGTTCTTGCAGACATTACAGGACCTCATGCAATTCAGCAAAAGGGAATTTTCTAAAAAGTGGGAAATAAAAATGTCACGCTAGCGATCACACAACTAGGTCTTCAAGCTCATGATCATTTGAGGCTGTGTGGTCTAAAATAAAAAGGTTAAAAGATACATAATGTATTTGTTTTCTTTTTATACAGAAATCATACACACAGAACTTCAACCTGAAACTTCATAACAAAAAAAGTCCACTAATTTAAGGAAAGCATTTTGTTGTGCAAAAAGTCCCTCCCCCCTCCCCTGTTCACCGTCATCTACTGAGGGTCTCACACACACACATAAAGTTTCCTTCCAACGGGCGAGTTGGTAAGAAAGAGTCCTCCCTATGTACAGTGATTAGAGAGAAGCTGGATACAGTGCTGGCAAGAGGCATTAGGTGATTGCCTCTATCTGGAAGTGTCCATGTTCTCCTCCTTAAAGTTACTGCAGTGCTCTATAACTTTCCTATGGATAAAACAAGGACAAGGAGAGAGGGTTTAGTTTAAAGCTTATTGCATGACAGTTGTGGGACAGTAACGTAAGAACTGTCCAACAGCTTGAATCTAGGTAAATGTACACTACTTGCAGCTGGCAGTCTCTTGTGAGATACGCGTCAACTGGCATTTGTGTCAAAACCAGAATACTCCACAAAAGCAGCTTAGAGCTCACAGTTCATCCCCTCAGAATTTCAAGTCGTGTTGGTATCCGTCCAGATCCCTACGTGACCGTTCATTCATCACTCCTATAGCCAAATGGGCCGGTAACTAGGACTCACATCAGGAAACACGTGCCTCCAGATGTTAGTCCTTCACTCTGCTGTCATCTGTCCCTGCTTTTCCTGTTCTTTTCACTCCCCATTCATGCAGTGTCCCATCACCGTATGCACGCTGCCTAACTCAGAGCCTTGTGCAGGCTTTGGTCGCCTCCAGCATTCAGGAACACTTCAGCTCGGGGAACGCCTGCTGCCCGCCCACAAGGTACGTGTGCCCAGCCGCGCTCTGCCTCTCTGTTACATTCACCCCACAGGTATCAAATTGTAGCGCTTGGTTTGCAATGACTGGAAACTGCAGCTGGCTTTTAAAACTCTGAAAGAAAGACTCCAGAGGGAAGTCACGTAACAAAGTAAGCTGGGGAAGCTCACAAAGGTGACAGACTCTCTCCACCTTTGGAAGAATCCTCTCATTTTTACTGGGCAGTCAGCGATTTTAGTGACAGGCCAGTATGATTCTGGACAGTGAGCGCACACAAGTATGGAGAACAGTGACTGGAGACTATCGGTGTAAGAGATCCAATTAGCAGTGTGGCTCCCCTGCCCAACAAGCCCCTTCCATAACCGCTCTGCCCAGCACCCACCAACCCTGAACAATCTGTGTGTATTGCCCACCTATAAACAACTCTCTAGTATTCTGTTTTCATCCTCTTTCCCCTTCTCCTATGCTCGCTTCTCACCCCTCGTACACATCAGTACAGGCCTTTCTTTGGTAGCCTTACTTGATGCAGAAGAACAAAAACTAAACTAAAGCTAAATTGAATGTTTGATGATAGTACACTGGTTTCCTACCGGGCCATTTCCTTGGTCTCCTGCCGTGCTGAGGCCATTTTAATCATGTCCTTCAGAAGGGGAATCCCACCTTCTTTGATCAGCAGTGGGCAGTACTTGTCAGCTGGAGAGAAAAAAATGAAACAGATCCTTGTGAACCTTCAAGGAGTGGTATAAAGGGTGGCAGGAGTGCAAAGACAAGCCTGTGGCATGAGAAGCCACAAAACTTTTCTTTTCTATGAAGCCAGCCTGCAACCGACACAAAATGGCTGAGAACGTAAGAGCACAGCCAGAACAATCACAACGTTGGAGGAATTTCCTACGCACTGTCTCATTGTTTCTTGTTTGGCTGTGCTGCCCGGACATTCCTGCATCATTCAGAGAAGGTTCTCTCTACCTATACAGCTAAACTGGGAAGGCTTCTTCAGCTAACAAGGGCAGATCCACCCCCTTGACTCTTACAGCGCAGCGGATGTGATTTTGAAAAGGGAACTTACGGTAGACAGAGACCAGGTTGTACAGTGCCCAGGTAGCCCAGTGCTGGCTAACTGGGGAGATCCCTTGTGGAAGAAGTCGAAGGATTGGTTCAAATGACCTGCACAGAAACATTGCAGACGTTGTTAAAAATCCAAGAGCTGCTTCTTTCAGCACCTTTGCCACTCAAAGCGATACAAACTCTGCTCACAGACACCACAGCAGTAAATCCGTTGGCATGTCAAAGATTCTGGCATCCAGACTAAGGCTGTGTCACACGGCAATACTGGCAGGCTCACAGCCCCCCCCACGCTGGCAGAAGCAGGGTGCCCAGATAAATAGCTGCAACAAATGCAACTGAGAACTGATTTCCATCCTCTGTCAGTTGTTTCCTCATGCCTGCTGAAACCCAGCAGCACTGCTCTTTCTGCAGAGGGGCCAAAGCAAAATTATACCCAGCCAAAGCTGGCTGCTCACGTGCAACAGCTGCTGCGTTTTTTCTGGCAACAATAACATGTCTATTCTGTAGGACAGGCACTGGAATGCCATTCATTCTGGATCCCGGCCAGGCACTAAGGGAATACAGAGTACCTGACACCCTCTCACAGGAAGCGATTTGGAGGATTCCACCGGTTGTATTAACCCTTGAAGGGATTCCTGGGAACTGTGTCTAAATATTCCCCAGAGGAGCATGAATGCTACAGCAATCCATGTGACTTTCACAAGCAAACAGACTTGTGCAAAGGGCACCAGTCTCAGAAGAAAATGCTTAAGCAGTCCTGGATAGTCAGATCCTGGGTTTCCTGAACTAGGCAATTCCTCCAGAAACGTGCAGAAATCCTGCTGGGCTCCCACACTTCTCCCACAGAATCGCTAGGCAAAGTGTCTAACTTCAGCAGCCTGTGTAACACGTTTCAGAGGAAGATGTAAAATCCTCACTAAAGAACATGTCCCTGAGGATGTTTCTCATTCCAAGCAGAGCCTCCATGCTGGGCTACACCACTTCCCTTCTCTCAGTTGGTGCTTGCTTCCTGTGACAATCCTGGCTCGTAGGTGAGTGGGCCAAACTTTTCTATTCCTCACCTGTAATTGATATTTCTCCTGGAGTTGATATCCCAGCTCTGGATGGCTGCCCACATCCTCTTTACAACTTCCTCTCGGTGGGGCTCACATATACCCCAAGCCTCTGGACCATCAAACATGATATGGGAGAGCACACCACAGGCATTATAGGATACCTCAATCCCATCTGCTTTGCTCTCCAGCAGGTTGCTGCCGAGACAGAAGAGATCATTTAGCGGTGCTGATGCACCAAAGGTTTAAAAGCCTCCAGGTGATTCAGCAGCAGAGCTCCAGGGCATTCACCCTGCCCCAGCCCAGGTGTTCATTAGCCAGGCACTCACCTGAACACACTGATGAACTGGGAGGTCATGAGCTGCGGGCGGAGCTCCTTTACCTCTGCTACATTGCCCAGGAGGCCCAGCATATTACGATGCAGCTCCTGTTTCTCTGGGAACTCCTAAGCAAACAAATAACAGGATTATACAAAAGCTGGGTCATGGTGATGCTAAGAACAAGTGACCAGGGAGAAAGATTGTACAGCATGTCTAGAAAGGTAGAGTATTTTTGAGTAGTCAGCAATGGCTCTTTAGCAGGTGCCAAATGGGATCTCTGGTGTTCAAGGCACGTGTGAAATGAGAGATCAAGGCCAGGGCCCAGTATTCACTGCTGCTCTACTTAAGGGAGACCGTGTACAGCATGGGGAAAGAGGAAGATGTGCTGAGTGTAAGTTTCTCTGCTCTTCTACTGGTTGGGTGGATGGATGTGAGAAAGAAAAACATGTGCATGCTTTTTATTTTCTGGTTGTGGAACACAGGAAGTATTGCTTATAGATCAGCATAGCCAGAGATCCTGCCCAGGCACCTGCACCTCCACTGCTCATGTCAGCATTCCTCTAGAGGAAAGCAGGCATACGTACTTTCAAGCACTCCAAGAAGAGTTTCATGCCGCTGTAGTTAAGGAACATCTCACAGTTATCGGGGGTCTCATCAGTGATGTTCCAGAGGGCACTCCAGGAGAACTCCATCACCTGATCGCACTACGGAGCCAAAGAGAAAGGGACAGAAACAGAGCTTGGCTAATGTGGGAGCCCAGTGCAAACCAACGACTTGCGTTTCCTCTCTGGTATCACCCTAGATGGCTCCAGAGGTAAGAAAACCTTATTAATTTTTAACTTGTCAGCAAGTGGGTTTTTTGTTTAATATTTTTGTTTCCCTGTCACATTCCCCTGCCCTCACCCTGCGATGGGAAATTCTGCAGCACTAGCTGAGATGTCTTGTGTTTGTTAGAGGCTGAGCTGGCGCTCTGGACTGATCTCCATGCCCAAGTCAGATTGAAGAGAAAATACTGTATGTGTACATTTTTTCTGGGGAAACACTCACCGTTTTATCAGCCAGCTTCTTCTGAATCAACTTTAGCATTGTCTGTGGGCAGAGGAAGGGGAAGAGTGAGAAACGGTTCAAGAATCACAGAGCTAAAACTAACTACTGTAGTACTGCAGGGCTGGCTACAGCCAACGGGCACGTGCACGCAGTTTCGATTCCTTGCAGAGAACCTACTGGGTGTCTCCTTCTCTACACCACTGGGACTGGGCTGTGTTCAATGTTGC